CGCGTTTGATTACAAACAAGAGAAAAGTCCGGTCACGTGATATGCAAATTAGCCTGTGGCAGTGATGTTATGTTATGTCATCGCTGTGCCGGAGTGTGATTACCTATGTGACAGCAAGCACCTGGGCCATGTTTCAGCAAGCCCGACCTCATGAAGTAAAGATATATACAATCAGCTGTCAAGTTCGAGTTTACATCTCACAATATTTACTCTTCAAATTCCCTTATCAAATACAGCACCAGAGGTGGAAATGAATTATGTATGAATCTTTCATAGACAAATCCCGCATCAACATCGTTCAAAATGTGTTTAGTTATGTATGTTTTATGCACTTTTATAGAGAGATTCTGATATGAAATTTACGACTGTTTACAGCGGAGCCAAGGACTGCCGTCGTCGTAGTGAGACTGTTAATTTGAATCGCCGGCGGTTATTCTCGTTTGTATTGGGTTGTGGTATGTGAGAGAAGGTGCTAAATCACGCTGACGGAGATTCCTGTCACCCATATGTGTTATATCATGTTGTACTCATGTCATGCAGGATTAGGAGAGTCCATGTGGAAGGGGAGTGGTGTCATGTAGGAATTAAAGAGTCACGTTCCGTAGGAGGAGGAGAATTTTGTCATATAGGAGGAGAATTATGTCATATAAAAGGAGGATTTCATGTCATATAGTCATACAGGTGAGGTGAGGTCGAAAGGGTTTAACGTCGTGCTTGAGAATATTTCGCTCATATGACGACGTGCATGCGTGTGTATGTGTGGCTGCTTGCACTAGCCAAGACTTAAGCTGGTTTTATAGTGCTAGCTCACTGAGATACCATGCCGCAGCTAAGCATGAATACACCACTCAGATCAGTCCTTGTTGTACCCATTAATGCCGAGCGCCAGGCAGGGACCAACAAGTACCATATTTTAACGTCTTTTGGTATGACGAGGCGAGAATTATGTGAAATTGGAGGAGAATTCCGTCACATAGGAGGAGAATCACGTTTGTAGGAGGAGGATTGTCATATAATAGGAGAATAATGCCCTGTTGGAGGAGAATCATGTTTGTAGGAGAAGGATTGTGATATAGGAGGAGAATCAAGTCATATAGGAGGAGCATCACGCCCTGTGGGAGGTGAAGAATCATGTCAAATAGGAGAATTCTGTCACATAGAAGGAGGGAAATCATTTTTGTAATAGGAGGAGTGTCATATAATAGGATGTCCTGTAAATTATGTCCTGTTGGAGGAGAATCATGTCATATTAGAGAATCGTGCAATGTGAGAAGAGGAGGACCATGTCCTGTAGAAGGAGGAGGACCATGTCCTGTGGAAGGAGGAGGACCATGTCCTGTAAAAGGAGGAGAATCATGTGATGTGGAAAGAGGAGGACCATGCCCTGTAGAAGGAGGAGAAACATGCCCTGTAGAAGGAGGACCATGTCCTGTAGAAAGAGGAGGACCATGTCCTGTGGAAGGAGGAGGACCATGTCCTGTAGAAGGAGGAGGACCATGTCCTGTAGGAGGAGGAGGACCATGTCCTGTAGAAGGAGGAGGACCATGTCCTGTAGAAGGAGGAGGACCATGTCCTGTAGGAGGAGGAGGGAGGAGGAGGAGGACCATGTCCTGGAGGAGGACCAGGAGGAGGACCATGTCCTGTAGGAGGAGGAGGACCATGTCCTGTAGGAGGAGGAGGACCATGTCCTGTAGAAGGAGGAGGACCATGTCCTGTAGAAGGAGGAGGACCATGTCCTGTGGAAGGAGGAGGACCATGTCCTGTAGAAGGAGGAGGACCATGTCCTGTAGGAGGATGTCCTGTAGGAGGAGGAGAATCATGTCCTGTAGAAGGAGGAGGACCATGTCCTGTAGAAGGAGGAGGACCATGTCCTGTAGGAGGAGGAGGACCATGTCCTGTAGAAGGAGGAGGACCATGTCCTGTAGGAGGAGGACCATGTCCTGTAAGAATCATGTCCTGTAGAAGGAGGAGGACCATGTCCTGTAGGAGGAGGAGGACCATGTCCTGTAGAAGGAGGAGGACCATGTCCTGTAAGAATCATGTCCTGTAGAAGGAGGAGGACCATGTCCTGTAGAAGGGGGAGAATCATGTCCTGTAGGAGGAGGACCATGTCCTTTAAGAATCATGTCCTTTAGAAGGAGGAGGACCATGTCCTGTAGAAGGAGGAGAATCATGTCCTGTAGAAGGATGGGAATCATGACCTGTAGAAGGAGGACCATCTCCTGTAGAAGGAGGACTATGTCCTGTAGAGGGAGGAGGACCATGTCCTGTAGAAGGAGGAGGACCATGTCCTGTAGAAGGAGGAGGATCATGTCCTGTAGAAGGACGAGAATCATGTCCTGTAGAATCAAGTCCTTTAGAAGGAGGAACACCATGTCATGTGGAAGGAGGAGGACCATGTCCTGTAGAAGGAGAAGGACCATATCCTGTAGGAGGAGAATCATGTCCTGTAGAAGGAGGAGAATCATGTCCTGTAGAAGGAGAACCATGTCCTGTAGAAAGAAGGAGAATCATGTCCTGTAGAATCAAGTCCTTTAGAAGGAGGAACACCATGTCATGTGGAAGGAGGAGGACTATGTCCTGTAGAAGGAGGAGGACCATGTCCTGTAGAAGGAGGAGAATCATGTCCTGTAGAAGGAGGAGGACCATGTCCTGTAGGAGGAGGACCATGTCCTGTGGAAGGAGGAGGATCATGTCCTGTAGGAGGAGGAGGACCATGTCCTGTAGGAGGAGGAGGACCATGTCCTGTAGAAGGAGGAGGACCATGTCCTGAATGAGGAGAGTCCTGCCAGTTAGGAGAAGAGTAATGCCATCTAGGAGTAGGAGAGTCGTTCACCAAGAAACAGGAGTGTTCATGTCATTTAGGAGGAAGGTCGTGTCAACCTGGGAGGAGATCTTGTACTTCAGGAGAAGTATCATGAGTCTGTAACATCCTACATCTTAGACGGCATGTCATCATTATTGTAGCATGTCTTTTGTTTGTGTGTTGCACTCAGCATTATTCAAGCGGAATGGGACGGCAGTCTGTAAATAATCGAGTCTGGACCAGACGACCCAGTGATTGATATCATGAGCATCTACCTACGCAACTGGCATACCATGACATGTCTCAACTTGGTCAGCGAGCCTTAACACACGATCCCGTTAGTCACCTCGTACAGTATGCATGGGTTGCTGAAGACCAATTCTAACCCGGAACGTCACGGGTGGAGACAAGCATGGGTTGCTGAAGATCAATTCTAACCCGGAACATCACGGGTGGAGACAAGTATGGGTTGCAGAAGACCAATTCTAACCCGGAACATCACGGGTGGAGACAAGTATGGGTTGCTGAAGACCAATTCTAACCCGGATCGTCACGGGTTGAGACAAGCATGGGTTGCTGAAGACCAATTCTAACCCGGAACGTCACGGGTGGAGACACGTATGGGTTGCTGAAGACCAATTCTAACCCGGATCGTCGCGGGTGGAGACAAGCATGGGTTGCTGAAGACCATTTGTAACCCGGATCTTCACGGGTGGTGTATCTGCCCTGGAGATGATGAACAAGCATTGCTTGGGGGTCCTTGAATGGCATTTAGAAGCCATACACATAAAGGCAAAGACTTTTTGTGGATGTCAACTTCTTTACTGTGATGGACATGACATTTCGAAACGTCGTGTCCATAACAATAAAGAAGTTGACCTCCATAAAAAAGTTTTGCCTTTAAGCATTGCTTGCTTTACACCTCAAAGAACAAAGTAAAACGGGGATTGGCTGGCCACAATGAGTGGCCAGTTTGGTTAATTATCACTGAGCCTTAACTACGTGGGTCCTTTCAAAATAGGTAAATATCCTATTGACACCTCCAACTTATCTTGTAATCACATAATCTATAATCCCATATTCTTGTTTGAAGGTCGACTCATCACATCAAAATTAACCCTAATAATTACTGTGTATATTACACATAAAATGTAAGGCAAGGTGATTATTTCTGTCCACCAGCCGGATCGGAAAGATACGAAGCAAGGGTTACAGAATGTGTACACAACCTTAGTAATAAAGTCCTCGGATCTGACAGATTACAAGAACCATATGTCCCTCAGACTGATAGCGCCTAGTTCATCAACGCGCTTTAAGACCTTGCTATAATTACACACACACATGGGCAAAACACGGACACCATGTGGTTAGCAGAACAGTTGTCTCGATTGGCGCCAGAGCATATATACATGTATTTAATAAACCATTCAACCTAATTCCTCGCTCACCTCTTCGCAACTCTTGTAACCTATACTCACCCTTTTCAAGTCTTGGAGACTCGTAGGTGTCTCTATGGAGTTATCTTCAATAAATCGTATACATAACTTCACCGCAGAGACTGGAGGCGGTGGCACATGGTTCGTTAAAGACGTGTTATAAAATGACGTCGATCATTCATTCTGTCATTTCTCGGGGGAAAAATACAAAATTTGAATTTAAAGTTTTTTCCCGTCCAAGTTGATTCTGGATAAAAGACGTGTACTGAGCTTTGAAGTTAAACACAAATAACGGACCCCATGTAATAAGGATCTCTACAGTCTCGTAATTTCTGAGAGCTTACATAGTGATGAGTGTGGATTGTCACGCCGAGGGAATGAGAATAATACGGGGTGAATGTTTGTTATTTGCTGTGTGGGTAAGAGTGACGGGGTAACTGCTACCGTCTGACACTCTAGCTGTGGGGATGACTTGCTCTTCAACATAAAACCTCATGACATTTATTTGTACTCGCAAGCACACGCTGACCTAGGATTGGACACATGTTGGAATATACGTGCAAGCGCGAGTTAACGAGAGTGTGTCACACAGTGAGAGAAAGACGGAGGGGTGAATTTAAAGCAACCTACCTTGCTGAAGGCTTGAGACTGATCAGAACTTATGAACAACGTTGCTTCCGGAATATTCCAAACTGTTTACCAGATATTTTACGGGGAGGCAGACCCGACACGGACAGGCTTGGTGGGTAATGCCTCACCCTGGGATGTCCAACCTCTTCTTGAGGCAGTTTACTGCTACTAGTGAGAGATACCTTGCAGCGATGTCATAAATTGCTTCATAGGGTTATGTGATGAGTGTGATGGGGCAACGTTGATTGCCTTACAAGCTCATTGCGGTTAGTGGGTCAAGGAAGAGTCGAGTATTCTCTCACGTCTCTTATACTGTAGATCCGTGTCTGTTCTTAATAGCACAAATGTTTCAGGATAGGTTATTAGCCTTGTGGTTGAAGCGTTCGCCTCTTATGCCGTAGACCCGGGTTCGATTCTCCACATGGGCACAATGTGTGAAGCCCATTTCGGGTGTCCCCCGCCGTGATATTGCTGGAATATTGCTTAAGGCGTCGTAAAACAAAACTCGCTCACTCACTACCTTTGTGCTACATATTAACAGGGTTAATGATGAGATGAGGAGGACGATGAAGGTGATAATAATTAGCGCTTTTAACACTTTGAACAGACAGTATGTTGGTTATATCACGGCGTGCCAGTTTAATGTGGGAGGAAAGCCCGAAGTAATTCAGGTCACAGACGTTTATCACCTCGGTGGAACCAACGAGCAAGGGCATGGCGCTGAGATACCTGGGATAAACTCGGGCGAATCAGGATCGAACCCACGATCATAGTTGTCTTTGGTTGGTTGCATTTTTGTTTAACGCCGCACTCAGCAATATTCTAGCTATATGGCGGCGGTCTGTACGAGTCTGGTCTAAAATACCCAAAAATACTACCCTGCAGAGCGAATTCCGCAGCAAAAGTAACAACAACAACAACATGGCACTCAGGTTCCTTTCTCTAGGGAGTATACAATACTTGCAGTCAGATTGCATTCATATTCCAGTAACCCCCGAGTAATGATACATGTAGGTACTGTAGGGCTATCACGTTGAGTAGACTTGCGTCCCCGGCATCCAATATTCGTGGGTTCGAATCCAATGTTCGTCCGACAGATATTTATTTTATCAGTTCACTATAAGTACTCGTTGGTTTCACGAGTTGAAACGTTTACATTTGGGTTTCCAGTCTGACGCAATTAAGCTGACGCGCCTTAATATAACTACAGTGGAGTTCAAAGAGGCATTCACTCAACTCATTCACCAACGCATACACGTCCGGGTGTGACGTGGGGATTTACGCCTTGTGTTACCAGCGTCAAAACCACAACACACGCGCACGTCCCTGCTCGAACACATGACAAAACATGTTTTGAAGTTAATTATTCGAAGTTAGCAATTGCATTAAAATCACTCATGGCGAAGTATCCCTGACTTCGTTTAAACAACTTCTGTTATATCCGTCCGCAATATATACGAAGAGCGTTAAAAGCAAGAGCAAATTACCTTAAATATCGCCTCAGGGAGATTGAAGCTAAGTCATTCACGCCATTTTGTCTTATTTGTTTGTTATCTAACGTCACTTTACGCAATATTCCAGCTGTATGGCGACTGTCTGTAAATAATTTCGTATGTGAGTTGAGTTTTACTTCGCTTTTAGCAATATTCCGGCAATATCAGGGCTGGGGACACCAGAAATGGGCTTCACACAAAGTACCCATGGGGAATCGAACCCGGGCCTTCGGCGTGAGACCACCTACGTGGTGTACAGGTAAGAGCGTCCGCCTGGGGAGCGGAAGATCGCGGGTTCGATCCCCGGCCGTGTTACACCAAAAGACGTTAAAATATGGTACTTTTTGGTCCCTGCCTGGCGCTCGGCATCAATGGGTACAACAAAGACTGGTCGGCTTGGATTAGTGTGATGAGCGAACGCTTTAACCACTAGGCTACCCCACCGCTCGTAAATAACCTCCGACGACGTATGAGTTACGATCTCCCTGTCGGACTACACGCTACGTGAACCTCGACCCCGAGACGTAGCAGATGGTGCTCTGAGACGTCACGACCAGCACAGGTTGTCGGGGTTCAAGTATGAGCCTGCCTCCCCACGGGCATCCGGAATACAAATTCATCTTTTTCTTACCACACTTGGATTTATGAACGTGTTAACAGGACGACAATTTTTAATAAACAGGATACTCTGTGTATACAGTGAACCACTGCTTGAGTGATTTAGTGCCCAACCCTGGTGTAATATATACACAATGGCATTTATAAAGCGGTCAGATGTAGCACACGTTATATTTGGGATTACACTTTCTCAGTAACAGGGCGGTGGGGTAGCCTAGTGGTTAAAGCGTTCGCTCGTCTCGCCGAAGAACCACGTGGGGACAATGTGTGAAGCCTGTTATGGCCAAAATTATGAGTTGGAATTATTTTTATGTCAAAACTTTAATTTTTGTGCGAAACTAAATTAGTCTACATTTGGGACAGTTAACTATGAGTTGACACAGGACTAGAGATGTGAGCACATGGTCAGAGGGACTCCATTTAATGGTGTTAGGTGTGGACTTGGATTTGGAGTGTTGGCTCTATATGTTTACGGATTTGAGGACCTGCATCATCATATATATTGATGTCAATCATTCAAAGACTGATGAAGAAAAACAGTCAAGTCAACTGTATTGAAGGTATTGGAATTTTTTGTTGAAGAAGGGCATGACATGTGACTTTGAAGTTGATTTGAATCTGAACTGAGTATAGACTTGTTAAGAACTGAGCAAAGGATTTGGAAACTACAAAGCCCATTGTGCTAGAAGCGTCGTAAAACGAAACTCACTCACTTCGTCAGTTAAGTACACATTCTAGTATTTTTGTTGTGTTACCTGCGTTTGTTGTGTTACCTGCGTTTGTTGTGTTACCTGCGTTTGTTGTTACCTGCGGTTGTTGGTTACCTGCGTTTGTTGGTTACCTGCGTTCGTTGGTTACCTGCGTTTGTTGTGTTACCTGCGTTTGTTGTTACCTGCGTTTGTTGTTACCTGCGTTTGTTGGTTACCTGCGTTTGTTGTGTTACCTGCGTTTGTTGTGTTACCTGCGTTTGTTGTGTTACCTGCGTTTGTTTGTTACCTGTGTTGTGTTACCTGCGTTGGTTACCTGCGTTTGTTGTGTTACCTGCGTTTGTTGTTTGTTGTGTTACCTGCGTTTGTTGTGTTACCTGTGTTTGTTGTGTTACCTGCGTTTGTTGTGTTACCTGTGTTTGTTGTGTTACCTGCGTTGGTTACCTGCGTTTGTTGTGTTACCTGCGTTGGTTACCTGCGTTTGTTGTGTTACCTGCGTTTGTTGTGATACCTGCGTCTGCGTTTGTTGTGTTACCTGCGTTTGTTGTGTTACCTGCGTTTGTTGTGTTACCTGTGTTTGTTGTGCGCTTGTATTTGTCCTTATTCACGTTTTCTAGTGCCAGCCTATTGAGCTACTAAGCCACAAGGAAACATGGATACCCAGCTACATTACATTGATGCCGTGCCGGATTGTGGTATGATGATCATTTGGTATGATGCGACCAATGGATCTAAACACTCCGTCCACCAGACCTCTGAAGCGGTTCGTCAGGCGCGTATAGTACATATAAATGTGTTGTTTCATTTGCGTCACTACACATCTTACTACACTTCCTTTATATCGTAGCGAGGGGGTAGCCGAGTGGTTAAAGCGTTCGCTCGTCATCCCAAAGACCCGGGTTCGTTTCCCCACATGGCTACAATGTGTGAAGCCCATTTCTGATATTGCTAAAACCGGCGTAAAACTAAATTCACTCACTCACTCCTTTTATATCATTTCAATGTTTTTGTTGGGGAACTAGCTCCGCTCGAGTGAGTCAGTGAGTGAGTACGTTCAGTCTTACGCCGCCTTTAGCAATATTCCAGCAATATCGCCGCAGGGTCACCAGAAATGGGCTTTAAACATTGTACCCATGTGGGGAATCGAACCCGGGTCTTTGGTGTGACGAGCGAACGCTTTAACCACTATGCTTTCCCAACGCTCCAGCTCAGCTCGACATGAAGACGAAGCCTGCCTGGTATCTTACACTTACATTGTGCGATATATCAGATGTTCATGTAACCAGGAGCGGAATGCACAACTCGTGATAGACTACCCACTCAATAAAAGGACTCTTTTGACGATAGCAAAAGTCGAAAATTAGTAAATATATATTGATTATCTATAAGATTATTTCACACTGGAGTATTGGGGACATTAAATACAACAGTTGTCAAGTAATGTTTGTTTTAAACACACTATTTTGAAACTCAAAGTAATGCTTCGAAATCCCGAAAATGTAGTTAAGATATACGTTATAGTGAAAGGATAGTCCAACACCTTGGTTATTCTTAATCAGGAGAGATAAAGATATATTTCCGCTTCCTGACTGTAGTGGAGACCAATTTGGTGATAAAAGCCTAATAATAGTCTAGTCATTCTACGGCCAATAAGGCTGAACCTTCAACAAATTGCAACAAACGCAAACTTTTGTCTTTTGAACTCTAGAAAGGTTGCCTAAGAACATATAAAAAGTACAGTTAAGTGTATGAACAGAATATTTATTTTTCACAGTTAATGACATATGGATTGTCTATTTTAGTTATGCATGTGACTATATATACAGTATTTCCTCTAATAAGCGCCGGAGTCTCTAATTAGTCCCGGTCTCAAATAAGCGCCGGAGTCTCTAATAAGCGCCGGTCTCTAATAAGGGCCGGATTCGCTAACAAGCGCCGGAGTCTCTAATAAGCGCCGGAGTCTCTAATAAGCGCCGGTTTCCAATAAGCGCTGGGTCTCCAAACAAGAGCCGGAGTCTCTAATAAGCGCCGGGTCTCCAATATAAGCGCCGGAGACTCTAATAAGCGCCGGTCTCCATTAAGGGCCGGAGTCTCTAATAAGCGCCGGTCTCCAATAAGGGCCGGAGTCTATAATAAGCACCGGAGTCTCTAATAAGCGCCGGAGTCTCGAATAAGCGCCGGTTTCCAATAAGCGCCGGGTCTCCAATAAGCGCAGGGTCTCCAATAAGCGCCGGGTCTCCAATATAAGCGCCGGAGTATCCAATATAAGAAGCGCCAGTCTCTAATAAGCGCCGGGACTCCAATAAGTGCCGGGTCTCTAATCAATGTGCGTTT